CGATTTTTTACCAAAAACCATGTTAAAAAATAAGGAAGATCTTCACCGATTGGCTTTATCCTAGTTCATACGAGAGCTATACACTCTCAGAGAAACGCTGCAAAATTGGGAACCGATTTGATTATTGGTTTTTGAGTTATCGTGCCCGCCATTCACAAAAAAATGTTTAGAGTAAAACGCGTTTAAAGTTTGAGAAGCCCTTTAGCCGTCACTTAATGTTGATACAATAAATCGGATATATCTTCAAGACTCCTTGAGATTTTCACTTGAAATTTTGTAGAGACATTCCTTAATCAGTGTAGATTCGAATTATATCAACAAAAATTTTGACACCGAGAATAGGGGGGTCCCCTTAAATGAAACAATCTTGTTATTCGTGTGGTTTTAAAGATCCAGACATCATCAAAATTGATGACGAATTATTTTCTCAAGAACCATTTAATTTGTATTTAAAATAACATATTTTTAGGTATTATTATTTTTTCAAGGGCTATCAATTGAGTGGACTTTTATACCCTACACAATTATGTTGTCAGGTTATTATAGGTTTGTGCAGCCTAAGAGTTTGTAAAGCCGCGAAATATTGGTCCTAGACCCACCTTTAAGTATACGGATCATATCGGTCATATCTCGACTAGCTGAGTCGATCTAGACATGTGTGTCCGTCCGAATTTTGGGGATGAAATGGACCAAAAACTTTATTTTTGTCTAATTTTCTGGTCGCTCTAGAGCCGCAATGTTAGCCCAAACATCACTAAATATACCCTTCACCACACTGTGGTACAGGGTATTATGTCTTTGTGTATATGTTTGTGACAGGCAAAAGGAATCGAGATAGGCCCTTAGTACCTTTTGAGAATATGCAAGGAATCACATTCTGAGTCGATTTATGTATGTTCGTCCGTCCGTCCATATATATTTTTGTGAGCAAAGTACAGGTCGTATTTATGCCCCTATTTGGATTAAATTTGGCACAGTTCATTTGTTTGGCCCAAGAACGAACCCTATTGAAATCGGGAAAAATTGGTTCAGATTTAGATAAAAGTCCCATATATAGTTTGGATGAAATTTGGCACTGCTCATTTATTTGGCCCAAGGACGAACCCTATTGAAATCGGGAAAAATCGGTTCAGATTTAGATATAGGCCCCATATATAGTTTCGTCCGATTTTATGTAAATGATGCACAAAACTCCCAAATTTGGTGCGATTAAGTCAAACTTTTGCACAGAGTACTGAAATAGGTCCAGATTGATGTATGCGAAGTTCTATTGGAATCGGTTCAAATTTAGATATAGCTCCCATATATAGTTTCGTCCGATTTTATTTAAATCGTGCACCACTCAATATTTGTTCAATAGAGACAAATTTTTGCACAGCACACTGATGTAAGTCCAGATTGATGTATGCGAAGTTTTGTAGAAATCGGTTTCAGATTTAGATTGGAGACCCATTTACCTTAAATCGGACGAAAAAATATATGAGAGCTATATATAAATCTGAACCGATTTTCTCGAAACTTGGCACACGTCATTCTTGATCTAATTCAGTACTTTATGCCAAATTTCGTGCAAATCGAAAGATATATAGGGGCTTTGGTGCCCCATGTACATAAAATCGGACAAAACTATATATGGGAGCTATATCTATATCAGATTGATGTATGCGAATTTCTGTTGGAATCGGTTCAAATTTAGATATAGCTCCCATATATAGTTTCGTCCGATTTTATGTAAATCGTGCACCACTCAATATTTGTCCAATAGAGACAAATTTTTGCATAGCCCACTGAAGTAAGTTCAGATTGATGTATGCGAAGTTTTGTAGGAATCGGTTTCAGATTTAGATTAGCTCCCATATATATTTTCGTCCGATTTAATGTAAATGGTACACCAAAGTCCTAAAGTACTGAATTAGGTCCAGGATAATGTATGTTGAGTTCAGATTTAGATATAGCTCCCATATATATTTTCGTCCGATTTAGTGTAACTGGTGCACAGAAGTCCTATATATCTCTTGAATTGTACAAAATTTAGAATAGCGTACTAAATTGTTTCGTGAAAGTCGGTTAAGATTTAGATAAACTTACTTACTTAGCTGGGTTGTTACAGAACGGTTGTTCCATAAGCCAAGCTTAAAAAGATTTCCAAGCGCGTCGGTCTTGTGCGCAAGTCCACCTAATTGGAAGACCACGTTCCAAGATCTTGTTTTCTATTTGGTCTTTCCATCCAATTCGTGGCCTTCCCCTTCTACGGGAACCATCAATATGCTCGTTTTGTATGCCTTTTGAGCTGGGACATTTTCATTCATCCGCACAACATGGCCTAGCCACCGTAGTCGCTGCAGCTCAATACGACTGACTATGTCAATGTCCGCGTATAAATTGTACAGCTCGTGGTTCATTCGACGCCGATATTCACCGTCGACGCAGATCGGACCGTAGATCTTTCGGAGTATTTTTCTCTCAAACTGCTTGCGCAAGTACCCATGCTTCTGATCCATATAATAGCACGGGTAGTATCAGCGTCTTGTAAAGTGTGAGTTTGGTCTGGCGGGAGGTGGGCTTGTTTCTGAACTGCTTACTTAGACCATAGTAGCATCTGTTGGCCATCGTTTAATTTATGGCGGTACCAAGGTATATAAAGTCTTTAACTACCTCGAATCTGTAGTTCTCAAGTTCCACAGTTGGTCCGAGTCTACTGGACGTCTTGCGCGTTGATACCATCAACTTGGTATTCTCGCCGTTGACTGCCAGACCCACTTTGGCAGACTCCTTTTCAATTTGTTCAAAGGTGGCTGTTACCGCTCACAATGTTCGAACCATTATATCGATGTCATCGGCGTAGGCGAGTAACATGTGTTGTTTGGTGTACAGAGTGCCATTTCTATTCACCTTTGCGTCTCGTATGACCTTTTCCAGCAGAATGTTAAAAAGATCACACGACAAACTGTCAAATTGTCTGAATCCTCGTTCGGTATTGAAGGCCTCCGATAGGTCCTTTCCTACTTTAACTGCTGACCTTGTGCCACTTAAAGTTATCCTGCATAGCCGTATTAATTTTGCAGGAATGCCGAACGTACACATGGCTTTAAACACCTCTAAACGGATAGGGCTGTCGAATGCGGCTTTATAGTCGAAAAATTGGTGGTATGTGTCGATATGTTTTTCGTGGGTATTTTCCAGGATTTGGCGCAGAGTGAAAATCTGGTCAATGGCGGATTTGCCAGATCTGAAGCCGCATTGGTATGGTCCAATGATGTCATTGACCATTGGCTTCAATCGTTCACACAGCAAACTGGATAGCACTTTATATTTTTTCGTCCGATTTAATGTATATTTATTTAATGTATATTGTAATCCCGATATAATTATATTGTAGCCCATTACCACACTGGAGGGCGAAAATATAACGCTGATCGCTTCGAAATTGTCCATGAGGATCAAGGTATGGTCAAGGACAATATTGACCAAAAACTTAATTTTTTGTGTTTTTTTTCGAGTCGATCTATATACAACACAATTGAAAGCAGAACATCACAACACAACGTACGGTGTAGGGAATTTGGAGAAGTAATTAGAAGGACTGTATTGAATATTAGTAGACCTCTAGTCGGTCAAGAGATGCAAATATCGCGAAATATTGCCCAAGCTTAGAATATAGAACCACAGAAAGATAGATTTTCGTGGTAATTGTGTAGGGTATCATATGGTCGGCCCCGTCCGACTATACTGCTCCTCTCACCAATACATTTTAAAAAGTATCTATAAGCGCCGATTTTTTAAAAATTATTTTTAAGAATTGTCCATAAACGTGGATTTTCAAGAATGTCCCTACAAAATTTCAAGAGAAAATCTCAAGAACTCTTGAAGATATAGCCGATTTATTGTGTCAGTATCAAGTGACGGCTAAAGGGCTTCTCAAACTTTAAACACGTTTTTCTCTTTTGTGAATGGCGGACACGATAACTCAAAAACTACTGACCCAATCAATTCAAAATTTTTACACGTTTCTCTGTGAGTGTATAGCTGTCGTATGAACTAGGATAAAGCCAATCGGTGAAGATCTTCCTTATTTTTTAACTTGGTTTTTGGTCAAAAATCGGCGATTTTCCAAAAATATTTTATTTCAAAGGTCCGCCATTTTGTTAATTTTAGAGCGAAGTCAATAATCCTAGTTCATACGAGAGACAGACATGTACTCTTTCTAACACCGTTGGAATTTTCGTATTCCGATGTTCCATTGGGGAGTTATCATGCCAGCCTTCAGAAATAATTATTTTTTCAAAGGCTACAATTTTTTTAATTAAAAAAAATATATTTTCAAGGACCAAATTAATTTTAAGGAATTAAGCCATCGAGTGTTTTTGAGGAATTTCAAAAGAGTTTTTTTACTTTTTCAAGACCTCCACCAAGCTTGAAATTTATAAAATTATTTCTTCAAATACCCACCAAATGTTTTTCGTTTCAATAAATTTCCCCATTGCCCCTTTCCCAAATAAAACGGTCGCTGTGAATGACTGCATAGTGGAATACGTCATTGAAAGTTTGCAACTATTTTCAGTTTCCTTTCCCAACTACACATTAATTGTTGCTGCAATGTGAAAAATCAAAGTGAGAGTATTTAAACGTGATAAAACCGCGTGAAACACAGTCACACTTAGCACGTGGTGCTGGTGATGTATAGAAAAGTGCTTTGGAAGAAGGGACTTTATAAGTTATTTTCAAAATATAGCGTGACATGCACACACACGCAGACAGAGTAGAATATAACAACAAACATGTAGAAAATTCCGGTACAATCCACTGCTCTCAAACGACAGATACTTTTATCGGAAATTCGCCAAGAATTACAAAGAAGTGAAAGAAATACGAATATTAAGTCAATGTGGGAATAATGCAACAAAAGGTTTTAGTTTATTCAAAAGATTTTTGCCAATTTTTCAATGAGATAACAAAACAAAATAATTCAGGCAATGTTAAAGATCAATTGGTCCAAAGTCTTAGTACAAGCCATGAATTCCACCGTGATAGCCTCCATGAAGATAACCGCCATGATGGATCAAGGGAGTGGCAATGCTATGTGTGGAAATTATTGGATGGGCCACATGCACAGCAGGAGCGGCATGATAAGATGATACCACTGGATGGGAACTGAGGTAGCCGGGTCTGGCAAAGGCCATGACCAAGAAAGACAAGAAGAAGAACTAGAAAAAGAGAGAAAAAAAAAACAAAAATTAAGTGTAATAATTAACAAATAAAAATCTCCGTTCTGTGTATACTCACAATCTTGAACATCTTTGTGGATTGTTGGAGATTTGCTTGTAGTTGCTGGTTAACAGTTTGATTGAAAACTAACATACTTCTACGGAGTAGCTTAGGGCTTTATATACAAATGATAGGCAAATTAAGTGAAATATAATATTAATGCAATAATTTAGTGGGCCCCCCAAGTAAAGCCCATCGTTGAGCAATTCTTTGTCACCTGATATCCTATCGACGAACACACACCGTCGTGTACCAACATTTGCCATCATTAATGTTACACCACTGACATCACCTGTCCAAAAGACGACAAGAGGCAAACCAACATCATCACCCCCATGCAACGCAGAATGGTAGACAGATAGAAAAACCAAAGAAGAAAAACCGTTCTTTTTGGTTTGCAACAAGCGTATCGTATATCGCCGACTGTGGTTGGATACTGTTGAGATTTTTCGTCTCGCCAAAAACGAAGTAGCGAACAACGAAACAAAACAAAATGATAATATAAAACGTAATCTCATTTTCCTAATTATTTTTAATGCAAAAGAAACGAAAAATTACACATGTTAAGCGGGAATATGATATGAACATAAGCTAATTTTCCACATTTTGGAAAGAAATGTTCCAATTAATTGCATTCTTAGTTCGTTTTTTTATACCCTACACAACTATGTTGTCAGGGTATTATAGCTTTGTGCAGCCCCAAGAGTTTGTAACGCCGCGAAATATTGGTCCTAGACCCACCTTTATCTCGACTAGCTGAGTTGATCTAGATATGTGTGTCCGTCCGTCCGTCTGCCCATTATAATTTGTAAACACGATACAGGCCACAGTTATGGACCAATCTTCACGAAATTTTGCATGTAGGATGGGTTGTGGCCAATGAAGACCCCTATTGTTTTTGGGAAAGATAGGATAATATTTAGGGGATGAAATGGACCAAATACTAAATTTTTATCGGTTTTTCTGGTCGCTCCAGAGGCCGCAGTTATGCTCCGAACATCGTGAAATTTTGCATGGAGAAGGGGATCGGGCCAAAGAATAAGCATGCCTGTTTTGATAAATATCGGTCAATATTTAGCGGGTAAAATGGTGTGAAAAATGACAAAATTTGTATTCTATAGCGTATATATTTACCCCTGAAGGACATAGACCCGAGAAGTTGATATTATATCCAAGAGGAGTGGTTGATCTTTAAATTAATACCAATTATATTGTTGTTTGTGCTCGGGAGTTGGAGTTACACCTAAATATTTACAATTATCTCCGTATTCGTATATTATTTAGTAACCCATTATCACTCTAGAGAGCGGAACAATAGCGCTGATCGATTTGAAATGTTTCATGAGGTTCCAGTTATGGTCAAGGACAACGCCTATAATTTTCGGTGATGATCAGATAATAATTTTGGGATGAATTGGACCGAAAACTTATTTTTTTTTGTGTTATATTCGAGTCGACCTATAGACCACAAATGAAAGCCGAACATTATAACACAACCCACTGCGAAAGGAATCTGTACAATAGCTGTACTGAATACTCGTAATATTCGGAAAATATGTCAGTGTGAGGAAGAGGTGCTGTCCACCTCTAATCGGGCAAGAGGATGCAATTATCACGAAATATTGCCCAGACTCGGAATAAATATCCGCAGAAAATTTGAGTTCCGTGGTAGTTGTGTTGGGTATCGTATGGCCGGCCCCGACCGAATATACTGCTCCGCTCACTGGTTTTTCTTTCGAATTGAGCTCACTGATCCGAGTTTTGTAATGGAAAGAAAAGACAACAATCCAAAAACAAATAAGAAAAGTAGTAAAGTCGAACTGGGCCGACTATATGATACCCTTCACGACTATGGATATATTAAACAGGACTATTAACATGAAATTGGATGAAAAAAAATATGTTATATTTATTTAAATCGATTTACATACTTTTGTGCCACTGTAAGAAACGAATGACATGTTTATGGATAGATCTAGGTAGCTATCCATAAACATGTCATTCGTTTCTTACAGTGGCACAAAAGTATGTAAATCGACTTCAAACAGATATCCATAGGTCATCCGCTGGGCTATGTGTGTACTTCTAGAAAACGAAACTACCTAATTCTATGCTCAATTTTGTTTGTTGTAGGTTGAAGTAAATCTGACTAACATGAGGAGTTTGATGCCCAATGTACATAAAATCGGGCGAATATATATATGGAAGCTGTATCCAAATATGAACCGATTTCAATGAAACTTCTCACAGGTAATTTCAGAATGTTTTGTTCCTTGGTGCGTCAATTACTTAAAATCAGTTTATAATATACGGGAGCTATATCTAAATCTCAACCGATTTTCACGAAACTTAGCACACATCATTCTGGACCCAATTCAGTATCCTATGCTAAATTTCGCACAAATCGAAAGATATATAGGGTGTTTGGAGACCCATTTACCTTAAATCGGACGAAAATATATATGGGAGATATATATAAATCTGAACCGATTTTCACGAAACTTGGCAGACATTACTCTCGGCTCAATTCAGTACGTTATGCCAAATTTCGGGCAAATCGAAGGATATATAGAGGCTTTGGTGCACCATTTACATGAAATCGGACGAAACTATATATGGGTGCTATATCTAAATCTGCACCGATTTTCACGAAACTTGGTAGACATCATTCTAGGCTTAATTCGTTACATTGTACCAAATTTCGTGCAAATCGTCAGATATGTAGGATCTTTGGAGCACCATTCACCTTAAATTGGACGAAAACAAATATGGGAGCTATATCTAAATCTGAACCGATTTTTCCCAATTTTAATAGGGTTCGTCCTTGGGCCAAACAAATGAACTGTGTCAAATTTCATCCAAATCGGATTATAAATGCGGCCTGTACTTTGTTTACAATTTAACACCAACGGACGAACGGACATGTATAAATCGACCCAGAAAGTGATTCTATGCATATTCTCACTATGGGTCTATCTCGTTTCCTTTTGCATTTGGTCCATTTCATCCCCTAAATATTAACCGATCTTTACCAAAAACAATAGTGGTCTTCATTGGGCCGAATCCATCCTACATGCAAAATTTCGTGAAGATTGGTCCATAACTGTGGCCTGTATCGTATTTACAAATTATAATGGACAGACGGACGGACGGACACACATGTCTAGATCGACTCAGCTAGTCGAGATATGATGATCGGTATACTTAAAGGTGGGTATAGGACCAATATTTCGCGTCGTTGCAAACTATTGGGGCTGCACAAAACTATAATACCCTGACAACATAGTTGTGTAGGGTATAAAAAGTAATAATACCCTGTACCACAGTGTGGTGAAGGGTATAAAAATGTCAGTTGGTGTTGCCGACAGTTATATACCCTTCGCCTACGGTCTGTGGAGGCCTACGGTAGGTTTTATTGTTTTTATTGAGAGGAGTAGGAGAAGTAGTACACCGATGGGTCCGATCTTCGGACATAATAAAAGTACACTAACAATATTACGTTGACACATGGTTGGGGAGGTACTATAATGAGTGGGCCGATAAGTCCCATCTGGCAATATTATACAGTCATGGTTATTGCCCACTATGTAGCTAGTAGATATATATACGGAGGGTTAAGATTGTGCAAAGTTCAGTTCAAATCACGTGATTTTATAAAATTTATTTTCAGACAATTTTTTACAGTTTTTGCAGGAATTACCAGATTATCTTCGAAATTGAACTGTGTTTAGAAGGCCTAGGTCCAGAAGCAGCCTTTTTTAAACACACCTACAATTGCTCCCACGGCATATGAGTTTGTGCAAGTGTTTATTTATGTGTAAATTATGCACTAAAAGCCCCAAGTTTGTCCGATTGGCACAACATTTTGTACAATGTACTGAAGTTAATATAAATTTATTTTCTGGCAAGCTTTGCTGAAATCGCTTCATATTTAGATATTACTCCCATATATATTTACGTCCGATTTTAGGTAAATAGTGCACCAAACTCCTAATGTTTGTCCGCTTCATACGAAATTTTGCCCAACTAGAATGACGTTATTGTGTTTTGTTGAAATTGTTGACTTCCCTATTCACATGCATTCTCATTAAGTCTGAATCTGATTACATCTGTCATTTGTAGACATTCAACAGTCCTCCCAATTTTACGTTGCACACTGCAGCATCAACAGAAAACTAAGTTAATTAAGAATCTGATTTTGAAATTTAATACATTGTATAAAAATAGGATACCCCCATATCAAGGAATAAAGCCTATAAATAGTATTGCTATACCTTCAACATCATTTAATTTAGAGAAAATGCTTAAACTGGTAAGAATGTGCAAAGATTAAAATAATAAAAAAAAACAAAAATCCAATAAACCAAATATTATTAAATTTTCAGATGCTGCTAACGTTTTTCACATCATTAGCACTGGCTGGGTTAATATTGATGCCAAATAATTTACCACCAACCAAATACCATGCCATACAAATCAATGGAAAGTTATTTGACGAAGTCCTATTGGAGCTTATAGAGAAAAATTATACAAATTTTCTATCGGCAACGAATTTAACATTTGAAAACGTGCCTACATTAACAGAAATTTGGTTATTGCCTCTTTTCAGCGAGCCACCACCACCACCAATTCAAACTTTTGTTGTGCAGATTTTTCGCCAATTCTTTGAAACTCAAAGACCTTTCCTGGTGCTGGCCGAGACATTTCTAGGTGGCAAGAAACCGAGGAACTTCACTTTTCCACAATTTTGGAAACCTTTTGGTAATTGGATGTTCAATTTCGGTATTACAACAAATTTTCAAACATCCGGTCAAATTGGTTTGGGTCGGGTTATTATTTATGAAATATATTTGTAAAATGAAAAAAAAATAAAATGTGTTTTTTTGAAGTAGATACCTCATTGCATTTTAAAATTTGAAAGATCCTTTGAGAGAGGGTCTTTCCTAGAGTGGAAAGACTCTTTGTACATAGAAGTCCTATTGATGCTTTGCTATAATAAAATACTACTTGAGGCCTTAAAATAGAGCACATACATAGAATACCACTTGTTTCTAGTATACATAGTAGACCATATAAAAAACTGCCCTAAAATTCTTCAATATAAAGAAGACCACATGAGATACCTAGAAGATTTCTTAAGTAATCTTCTACATAGAAAACTCCTTGGAGATCTCTTGCGGCCTTTTATAAATAGAAGCTTCTTTAAAGATTTTTATTTATAGAAGTCTTTAAAGGCCCTTGAGGTGTTCTATACATAGAAGACCCCTTGAGGTGTTCTATACATAGAAGACCCCTTGAGCGTCTTTAATATATCATTGAGGTCTTCTATATCAAGAATACCCCTTGAAGTCTTCAATACATGGAAGAACTTGAGGTCTTCTATACAGAGAAGAACCCTTCAGCTTATCTACACATAGATGACCCCTTAAGATCTTCTTAGGACTTCTTTACATAGAAGACCCCTTGAGGTCTTATGTACATATAAGACCCCTTGATGTCATCTATACATAGAAGACCTCTTAATATATGTAGGAAACATTTTCAGGCCGAATTCTTTATTCCTTATATTCAGAAAAGGCCTACACAGGCCTTTTAGGGATTAACGACCTCTGCAATCCCATTGAACATATGCCAACTTTAAAATACCGGCCGAAACTAATGACCTCTTTATACCCTACATATTAATTTTGTCATTTCGTTTGTAACTCATCGAAATATTCATTTCCGACCCTATGAAGTATATATATTCTTGATCAGGGTAAAATTCTAAGACGATCTAGCTATGTTCGTCCGTCTGTTGTAATCACGCTATCTTGTGAAGTAATTGAGATAGGGTGGTGAAATTTTGCATAGGTTTGCCTTTTGTCTGCAGGCAGGTCAAGTTCGAAGATGGGATATATCGGTCCACGTTTAGGCATAGCTCCCATATAACAGTACCCCCCAATTTTCCGTATTTTGGGGTTCTTGAGCGCGCTTTTGAATCAAATCAAACAAATATCCCTACCAAAATTGTTTAACATTCGCCCCCTTTTTGGGGTCGTCCCCATATAACCCATTTTTTATACCATTCACCACACTGTGGTACAGGGTATTATGTCTTTGTGCATATGTTTGTTCCTTGGTTCCATGGTTCCTTTTCAAAATATGCATAGAATCACTTTCTGAGTCGATTTACTTATGTCCGTCCGATTTATGATCCGATTTGGATGAAATTTGGCATATGCCACTTATTTGGCCCAAGGACGAACCCTATTGAAATTGGAAAAAATTGGTTCAGATTAAGTATAGCTCCCATATATATTTTCGTTCGATTTTATGTAAATGGTGCACCAAAGTCCATATATATCTTTTGATTTGCACCAAATTTGGCACAGCGTAATGAATTATGTATAGAATGATGTGTGTTAAGTTTTCTGAAAATCGGTTCGGATTTAGATATAGCTCCCATATATAGCTTCGTCCGATTTAATATAAATGGTCCACCTGAAAATCGGTTCGGATTTAGATATAGCTCCCATATATAGCTTCGTCCGATTTAAGTAAATGGTGCACCAAAGTCCTTTAATATCTTTCGATTTGCACGAAATTGGGCACAGCGTAATGAATTAGGTCTAGAATGATGTGTGTTTAGTTTCGTGAAAATCGGTTCAGATTTATATATATCTCCTATCTATATTTCTGTCCGATTTACGGTTAATGGTGTACCAAAGTCCCTTAATATCTTTCGGTTTGCACAAAATTTGGCACAGCGTAATGCATTAGGTCTAGAAAGATGTGTGTTAAGATTCCTGAAATCGTTTCAGATTTAGATGTAGCTTCTATATCTGACCAAATGAAAATTTTAGTATCGGTTGCAGAATGAAATCTTTACTACTTTCCTTACTGGTTTATATTAAAATAGTTATATGATTTGTTCCGTGTTTGGGTTTAGTTCTAAGGCTCTGATGAAATCCTTTCATCTGCGGAAAAAACTAGAACATAAGGTTCGGTAATTAACCTTATATATATATATAAACTGCAACCCGCATTTAGACCTAGGCCCTGTGTGGGAGATACCTGAAGGAGTGAACCGATATTCCCCATGTTCGAATTTGAACTAATTTTGGAAGAAATAATAAGATGGGTAAGGTTTGGATGACATCAACATTTTTTGAAACAAATGTGGTCCAAAGAAACATGCGGTCTAGGACCAATATTTTAGAACCATAATCGGTTTGTAGAAATATCGGTATTGGTACACTTTTTGGTATGTTTCCTATATTTTTATTTCAAGTACCTGTCAGTATATCTATGGTGGAGGGTATCCAAAGTTCGGCCCGGCCGAACTTAAAGCTTTTTCACTTGTTATTTATTTATTTTATAAAACTCTTATAAAGTCTTGTGGTAGTTGTTGTTATACAGCCGTTTAATTGTTTAAGACAGCCGCTGATCATTATTTTATGTATAACAGTTTTGTGTCATTATGTCACTCTTTCGCAGCATATTTTTAGGCTCACTCACAATAAAATCATTTTAAGCTTTGTTTGTTTTCGTTATTTTTTATTTATAACAATTAATTGTTTTCTTATTTGTAACATTTAACAAAATTTGACCAAATCAATTCCTGAGTATCCTTAATCGTTCAGTTTGGGAGATGGAGAGATTGGTGACAGTGTCAACAATTTACTTCTTCAACAACAAAGGGGCGGTGTAGGGAGCAGCAACATAAGGAGCAGCAGCAGCATAGGTGGTGTATGGAGCAGCAACATAGGGGGAAGCAACGTATGGAGAAGCAACGTAAGGAGCAGCAGCATAAGGAGCAGCAACATAGGGTGATGCCACGTAGGGGGCAGCGAAGTTACCATGGAATTCTTGAGAGACAACGGCACTGGCAGCAACGGGAGCAGCAGCTACTACGGGAGCGCTATAGGCCAAAGGAGCAACAATGCCGGGCTTGGCAGCGGCACAGGCGAAGACGGCCATCAAGACAATAGCGAAGAATTTGAACATTTTGATTGGTGGTTTGAAGAGTTGCTGTTGTTTGTTAAAGAGAACAAATTGAACTGTGACAATTGTCGGCCACCCGTGGTCATTATATAGTCGGTCGTCTTCGACAGCAATAATTTTAAGCAATTTTTGGCAAAATACCCACAGCCAACAAATAGAACCTTGGAGATAAACAATGACTAAACTAAAAAGTCGCAACAACAACAATAATAATACTAATATGTGGAATAAACAAAACAGAACATATTTCCTTGAGAAAAGCTAAACAACAATAAGCATGGTATTCAATTAAGTACAAAAAGAAGAAGCATTTTCAACCACTTTAATGCCATTAACTTGTAATTCTTTTTTTTCTTGGTTCATTGATAATTAAGGTTTGATATGCAAGACTTTGATTTTATGAATAATTAATATGCCAATCACGTAGTGTATTTTATAATACACACGCACACATACACACAGAGACGTTTGTTTGGAGGTATTGCTTGTTGTGAATTGTGCAGAGGTGTGCACCATAAAGAAGAGTGTAGATTGTACTCACCTCGAAATATTCATTGAAGACCCCATCTAATATTTATACATTGTTGATCAGAATAACATTCTACGTCGATTTAGGTATGGTCGCCTGTTTATCGATATAGTTCGCAATATTTAAGGCAGACTTTCGAAAGATTGCACAAAAATGATTATGACTCTTAGGGTGTTGGGTTTTGAAAATGGGATATATTTATCCACATTTTGGTATAGCCCCCTAAATTTAAATATACATTGGGTAACAAATCATCCTACCAAAAATTATCAATATTGGTTCACTTTTTTTAAACAATGGCACCCATGCAACGGTACTCCTTCGTTATTCAGTATATGGGAGCGTATTGTAAAATGTACCATTACATAGGTACCATTACATATAACGGGTTATCCATTTCATGATTTCAAAAGTATGGAACTGAAATTCGACATCTGTGAAATTAAGTTGTTAATCCATTTTTTGTTGTCTTTTGAACGTCGGACATTGACGAAAATGAATCGTGTAATATCTCACAAAGTGTTAAAATTATCAAAACCAACTACAAAATTGGTGATTCTGCCACAACCACTTATCGTGCTTTTAAAGGAGATTATGGTTTTCTGGGATTTTGAGAATCCTTTAGTAATTGAGAGAGAGAGAGAGGTAGGAAGTTGTGATTGGACCGCACTTCATCGAAAACGACGATGCAACGAATGTCACCGTTTATTCGGAGCGATATGATCATATTAGGTTGAGGAAAAAGAAATCCATTATTTTTATACGAACTATAAGAGTTTATGTAACATGTCCGATTGGGCGGTGGATTTTTGGCCCAATCGGACATGTTGTATGATTTGTTGCCATTTTAAAGGTAACTTAATAATGCACCCCTTAACAGAAGTCCTTCTCTCTATTTGAAAAAAATTCTATTCATCTATTCATTCACAACCCTCCCCAGATACAAATTTTTTATCGTTAAACAAATTTTGCAATGCAAGAAAAATATGATAATCGCTTGGTGTCAAGTCCGGGCTGTATGGCGGATGCATTAAAACTTCCCAACGAAGCTCCCGAATTTTCTGGCGAGTCACTGTGGCGTTGTCCGGGTGGAACTCGACACTTCTCCTGTTGGCCAATTCTGGCCGTTTCTGGTCAATTGTAAATGGTTTAAAACAGTTTTATTGTCGATTTTTAGCCGGCCAACTTCGATCATTTCTCCGATTTTATCGACATTTTCGACGTCCGACCTACCTGTGCGACGTGTATCTTTAACATCAAAAATTCCTCAAAGGAATCCACGAAACCAAAATTGCACATAATTGGCTTGGTTACAGTATCGGAACCATAAACACCATTCACAATTTTAGCCGCTTGTCTTGCATTTTCGCCTCAAAGAAAAACTGTAAAATGTACCGAATTTTCTTTTTGTTCACTTTTATTTAACTCACAACTGAAAGCAAAAAAAAAAAAAAAAAACAAAAAAAAAAAAAATTACTGCGATATATCTTCCAACGATCATAAATCTAAAATTGTTTGATCGATACTTTAGGAAAAATCTAATACTGCAGCCATCTCTAAAAAAATCAGTAAGGAATAAAGTAAAGTCGGACTGGGCCGACTATATGATACCCTTCACCACTTTGGGTATATTTTACATATGTATCCTAACAGACGACGCGTTTTGTTATAAATCTATATCTGAACCGATTTCAGGGAAACTTGCAAGAGGCTAATTTATATAACATCAGTACGTTGTGTCAATCGGCCTAGCTATGGATCTTTTCACGAACCTTAGCAACATTATTCTGGACTTAATTCAGTATCCTATACCAAAATTCGGGCAAATCGAAATATATATATAGGGACTTTGGTGCACCATTTACCTTAAATCGGGAGAAAATATATATGGGAGCTATATCTAAATCTACACCGATTTTCACGAAACTTTGCGCACATCATTCTAGACTTAATTCAGTACACTATGCCAAAATTCGTGCAAATCAAAAGATTTCCAAGCACTTTAGTGGACTAATTAAAAAAATCGGGCGAAGCTATATATGGGAACTATATCTAAATCTGAACCGATTTTTCCCAATTTCAATAGGGTTCGTCCTTGGGCCAAAGAAATGCGCTGTGCCAAATTTCATCCAATTCGGATCATAAATGCGACCTGTACTTTGTTTACAATTTAACATGGACAGACAGACGGACGGACGGACATGCATAAATCGACTTAGAAAGTGATTCTATGCATATTCTCAAAAGGAACCATGGGTCTATCTCGATTATTTTTTCCTGTTACAAACATATGCACAAAGACATAATACCCTGCACCACAGTGTGGTGAAGGGTATAAAAAACAGTGAGCGGGCGGTATAGTCGGACGGGGAAGACCATACGATACCCTACACAACTACCACGGAACTCTCCGGATTTTTATTCCGAGCCTGGGCAATATTTCGTGAGAGTTGCACTCCCTTGCCCGATTAGAGGTCAACAGCACCTCTTTTTTACTGTTGTAATTACTTGTCCAGATTCCCTTCACCGTGAGTTGTGTTGTGATGATCGGTTTATAATTTTGTCCTGTAGAACGACTCGAAATAACAGAAAAATTAAGTTTTCGGTCCACTTCATCCCAATATTATTATCTGATCATCACGGAAAATAATAGACTTTGTCCTTGACCATAACCGGAACCTCAAGGAACATTTCAAAGCGATCAGCGCCATATTTCTGTCCTCCAGTGTGGTAATGGGTTACGGCAATATAAATGGTATCAATTTAAATGTCAAGAACTCCTAGCATGGATATACCATTTGACACGCTAAATATTGACCAATCCTTATCAAAGCAGGCATGCTTATTCTTTGACCCGATCCCCTTGTTTATGTAAAAAATCTCGATGTTTGGGCTATAATTGCGGCCTCTGGAGCGACCAGAAAAACCGACAAAAATTAAGTATTTGGTCTATGTTATCCCTTTAATATTAACCGATCTTTACCAAAAAACAATAGTAGTCTTCATTGGCCAGAACCCATCCTACATGTTGCTCCATAACTGTGGCCTGTATCGTGTTTACAAATTTTAATGGACAGGCGGACAGACACAAATGTCTAGATCGACTCAGCTAGTCGAGATATGACGATCGGTGGGTCTAGGACCAAAATTTCGCGGTGTTACAAACTCACAAAGCTATAATACCCTGACAACATAGTTGTGTAGGGAATAAATATTGGATTTTTTTTTCCCCCAACCTGATATGATAACCGACTTTTTTGCCTGTTTTAGAAGAATACGGCTTGGAAAATGTGTTTAAACAAGACCGTGTCACATGCAATACAACTTGTGTGAATATGGACATCGGGACAAGATCATGCGATTTGACAACTTTAGACTTTGTCATAAGGAGAGATTAATCTTCATTTATTGAGCTCTGAAAAAACTAAAACACTTGTTTTACTTGTTGATTATAAATATTCACATTTTCATTATTAGGACACAATTATATTGAATATGTATATAATCCTGTTTTTTCCCTCCATCAATTACAAAGAAACTTCCACATTATTTTTTGTGAAATATTTCCACAATCCTGATTAAATAAATTAAAAAGCCATCAAAGAAGACACGTTTCTCGTTTCTATTATAACTGCACTACTTATAATTATCTCGTTCTAAAGCTGCAGCTCAGTTCTTAGTTTGAATGTATAAAAAGACACAGGAAATGAAAATGCTATTCATAACTACAAATAAAACCATATATTTTACATACATATGCCTTTAATTATAAGAACTATTTGTATTATATTTTATTCTTTTATTTCAAGACGTCATTAAATCCATTCACTGACAATAAGCACATGCTCTAGGATAACAAATGCAAATGTCTTCAGAAGATGATTAATAGTTTTTTACTGTCGTTATTTTTATTTACGTACGATTGAAAGAATGAAAGAAAACATAAATGAATAATAACTTTCACGAAATTTCAAAATATATTTATTTATGCCTAATGGAATATATGTCAAAATTCGAAGAAAGCTATACTAGGTATATGTATATGTACAAATTTAAATATACATATAGATCTTGTTGCACGAACAAAACCACAGTCAAGTCATACACGCATTTGTGTTGGTCAGTTATCAATAAAAAAAAAACATGGAAGTGCTGTTATCGAATAATGTTTTATGTCTCCGAACAGAATTCATTTGGTTTGGTTTTATTGACAAAGTTCAGTTTCAAGAGAACACTGACAGAAAAAAAAAACTTAAAAAATTATAAATATTTTATGAACAACAGTTCCAGTTTTAACATCGAAATGTTTGCATTTCACATTTCATACCAAACATTCTGGGAGTGATAACAATGTATATGCAAAATTTTAAAACTCTATCTTAGATATTTCGAGCTCTATAGTAATTTCAACAGAAAGAGAGGTGGACACGCATAACATGACACAGAATTTTATTCTGATAGAAGGTCATTGCGTATACAATATTTTATATATAACTAGCATATGCACACTACTTCGCTAACTAATTTGGGAATTATTTAAATCCCAATACCGGCCATAATAAAAATGTTAGTATGTTATCTTATTTTACGTATTTCCAAAAGTACCTCGATATCTCAACTCTACACGCCAATTCTGACCGCAACAGAAATCTAGCTCTATACTAAATTTAATATAATATATTGCCCTTTGTACTCATGTAATATTTATTTCAAAAAAAAAAAATCAAAATTTCAAATATAGGTTTACCCAAATCCAAATTTAGTACACATTACACATTAATATAAATTTCCAAATTACCTACTTTCAAATATTGCCTATTTTCAAATTCATATGTACGAATTTCCAAAAACAGCCCAAACTTCAAATTTCAGGATTCCAGCTCTATCGATTCACCTGAATATAAATTTTTATCAAATTCAATACCACTTAGAACACAAACGTACAAATTTCCATTACAACATACATCATGGAATCCAATGGAATTCTTATTACCCAATTTTAGGATTCAAGCTCTATCGATTTACACTAAATTCAAATTGTACCAAATTTAGTGCTATTGAGTACACATTAGTGAACATTTTCAAAACTTACTACATACGCCAAACCAATACAACCCCTACAATCATCCTGATTCCAAATGTCAATAGACCAGCTTTATCGTTTCACCCAAATCCATATTTGGTACCATTTAGTACACTTAAGTACGATTTTCCCAAACGTTCTACATAGCCCAATCAAACACCTACAGTGATCCTAACTCGAATAGTCAATATTCCAGCTCTATCGATCCTAATTTTAATTTTCAGCAATGATCCTAACTCCAAATTGGTCTATCAGTTCTCCCAAAATTCAAGTTGAACTAAATTTAGTACAATTTAATACCCATAAGTATGAATTTCCAAAATTACATCCTTACCCCAATGTTACACTAGAAACACTAACTTTATTTCCAAATTTCAGTGTTTCAGCTCTATCGGTTCACCCAACTCCACATTTGGTGCCATTTTGGGTTAGCTGGGTTGTTACAGAACGGTTGTTCCATAAACCGAGCTAAAAAAGATTTTCTTGCGCGTCGGGCTTGTGCGCAAATCCACCAATTTTGAAGACCACGTTCCAAGATGGTGTTTTCTACTTGGTCTTTCCATCCAATTCGTGACCTTCCCCTTCTACGGGAACCATGCCTTTTTATATGCCTTCATCCGCACAACATGGCCTAGCCACCGTAGTCGCTGCAGCTCAATACGACTGATGTCCGGGTATAAATTGTAAAGCTCGTGGTTCATTCGACGCCGATATTCACCTTCGACGCAGATCGGCCCGTAGATTTTTCGGAGAATTTTTCTTTCAAACACCCCAAAAGCTGCCTCATCTGCCATTTCTGTTCATCTTTGCGTCTCGTATAACCTTTTCCAGCTTGGATGTTAAAAAGATCACACGACAAACTGTCACCTTGTCTGAATCCTCATTCGGTATTGAAGGGCTCCGATAGGTCCTTTCCTACTTTAACTGCTGGCCTTGTGCCACTTAAAGTTATCCTACATAGCCGTATTAATTTTGCAGGAATGCCGAACGTAGATATGGATTTAAACACCTCTGAACGGATAGGGCTGTCGAATGCGGTTTTATAGTCGACAAATTAGTGGTATGTGTCGATATGTTTTTCGTGGGTGTTTCCAGGATTTGGCGCAGAATGAAAATCTGGTCAATGGCGGATTTGCCAGGTCTGAAACCGCATTGGTATGTTCCAATGTTGTCATTGACCATTTGCTTCAATCGTTCACACAGCACACTGGATAGCCCTTTATATGCGATGGGTAGGAGACTTATTCCTCTATAGTTGGCACATATCGTCTTGTCTTGCATGAGGTTGATTGACTTCGCGGCAGCAAAAAACATGGTAGTTAGCAGCACCAACATTCAAGCATCTCAATATACACAAGGCCACCTGGATCTTTCTTCTTGTGCACGGGACACAGTATGCTGAGGTTCCAATCATTGGGCATGCATTCATCTAGCCAAATTGTGTTAATCAGCTGGTGCATGCTCCTGACCAGCATCTGGCCACCAGTCTTGAATAGTTCGGTTGGTAACCCATCGGCTCCTGCTGCTTTGTTGTTCTTGAGCCGATTAATTGCTTTTATGACCTCATCTTGGCTAGGTGGTATACCCTCTATACCATCATCTCTTATTGGTTCTGGGGTATCTTCTTCAACTACCACTATTTTATACCAGAAGCTTTTCAAAATGCTCCTTCCAGATCCTTAACACGCTGTCTGTGTCTGTCACCAGGTTTCTTTCTTCATCTCTACAGCAGGGTGTGCCTGCACCATCGCCTTCGGTTTGGTGTTTTACTCGTTGGTAAAATTTCCGGAATTCATTCTGACTCCTCTACAACTCGATTTGCTCACGCTCCCGTTTTTCTTGTTCTTTCTTCTTTTTTTTTTGAAAACACGTTTCTCCTGTCTCCTTTTCTCCCGATAATTCTCCATCACGTTACGTGTTGCTACTGCCTGCAGAGTTGCCCTATACGCTGAGTTTAGCACATAAGTCACATCGTACCATGTGTTTCTTGGTGGTGGTTTTTGGTACCCAAGTGTTGATTTTGCTGCAGTTTGTTGGGAGTGGGCAATTCTTTGCCATTGTGCTTCTATACTATTATCGGGACAAGAAGTGCTTTCTTCAAGCAGATGGGTAAGTTGAGCAGAGTAGGCCTCGGCTACCTGTTGTGTTTGCAGCTTTTCGACGTCGTGGTGGTTTTTGGTGTTGCTTTTGCTGCAGTTTGTAGGGAGTGGGCAATTCTTTGCCATTGTGCTTCTAGACTATTATCGGGACAAGAAGTGCTTTCTTCAAGCAGATGGGTAAGTTGAGCGGAGTAGGCCTCGGCTACCTGTTGTGTTTGCAGCTTTTCGATGTCGAGTTTCCGTGTTGTGTTAGATCGCACCTTTGCTTCTACATTAAGACGGGTGCGTTCCTGTGGCTGCCACAAGGTAATGGTCAGAATCGGTATACGCTCCTCGGATCGATCGGTCGTCTAAAAGACTGGATGAATGCCTCCCGTCTATCACAACATGATCAATTTGATTTCTCGTTACTTGATCAGGAGAGATCCAGGTGGCCTTGTGTATATTGAGATCCTTGAATCTGGTGCTGCTAACTACCATGTTTTTTGCTGCCGCGAAGTCAATCAACCTCATGCCGTTGTCGGATGTTTCTTCATGAAGGCGGTGGGGTCAAAGATATTTTCCCTTCCGATTTATGCAGGAAAATCTCCTAGCAGAATTTTAATGTCATGGCCAGGGCAATGGTCATATGTTGTTTCTAGGCGCACGTAAAATATGTCTTTGGTCTGTTCATCTTTATCTTCGGTCGGAGCATGGGCGCAAATGAGACTGATGTAAAAGAACTGGGATTTTATACGGATTATAGCAATTCGCTCATCTACTGGAGTGAATCTGGAGACAAGATCTTTTATTTTCCTGTTAACCATAAATTCGCAGCCAAACTCATGTCTCGTTTCATGACAGCTATAATACAGGGCGTAATCGTCTAATTTACTTACGCCTGTCCCTTTCCATCGCATTTCCTGTAAGGCAATAATATCGGCTTTGTACTTCTTGAGTACATCCGCCAAAGCGAACACTGCGCCTGTTCTGTACATTTGTATTTTTTTTTTTTTTGTACACATTAGTACAAATTTCGAAAACTTTCTACAAAGACCAATCCTACAACCCAACTGTGATCTACCTTCACCGCTTCGCCAATTACGACTTTCAAGTGTAGCCAGACTTTCTTTTATCTTTTGTGCAATTCAAAATTCAGGGCTACCCCAGAGAACTACTTACGATAAAAAACCGACTCGTCGGTAAGTTTTTATCATAATTTCTTGTTTTGTATTTTATTTTTTGTTTAATATGCAGTTTTTAAAACAATAATAATATAAAATATATACAAAACAGCAATTGTATTTACTGCAGAAATTATCAGCTCTACAGACTTACACAATGAAATAATGAGAAAAAAAGGAGATAAAGTCCTAAGAAAACTTTTGCAAAGATTAAAACAAAAAAAACGAACATAAAACAACTTCCTTGTGAATGAATTGAAAAGATTGAATAGCATTTTTAAATTTAGTTGCAAAAGAAAAACGGACGGATTAATACACATAGCGGTTGAAATCTAAAAAAAATATAATGCTTTTAAGGCGAGCAATTGCATTGCTCCTTCTGCTTTTAATATCCTCTTGCTCGGGTGAGGATGTGGTGCTAAAGTGTGATGAATATAATGATAAAATCGGTGGAATGGAGAAGTTTTGTACCGTTTCGGGGTTTCAAATTACCCATTCGCAAAATATTAAAATCACCCCCTACTTTCGGGCAAACCAAACAAATTTTATGAAATTCTATAACTCCGTGTTGTTGGATATACCCGCAAAGCTCTTCGATGTGTTTAGCAGTTTGAAAACCCTGGATGTTTCACATACCGAAATTGAGGATATATCGCGTAATACCTTTACCTCGGCCAGCATGTTGACTACTCTGAATTTGAGCCATAATCTAATTGAGAAAATCAATACCTCGGCATTTGTGGGTGCGCATAATTTAATGCGTTTGGATTTGAGCCACAATCGAATACATACACTGGGTTCGTTGGCCTTTCGTGGTTTGACAAATATGAATAAGGTGATATTGTCCTATAATGCCTTGACCTCAATACCCACCGATTTATTTCTGGATAATGCCTATATGGATGCGGTATATTTGGATTACAATCAATTGGAGGAGCTGAAGGCGGAAGTGTTTCATGGGCTGCGTCACATACGAGAGCTAAATGTGGCCCACAATCGTTTGAAACAATTCGATCCGCAGACATTTCAAAATTCCTATGGACCGGAAATGTTGATATTGGCCCACAATCAATTGAAGGATTTCCATTTGCAGAATAAAACCATAACCAAACGTTTGGATTTGGATTCGAATCGTTTGAGTAAATTAATTGTGAATGGCACTTCGTTCATAACGGCCAACAACAACTCCATAACACATGTAGAGGTATGGAATGGTCAGGATGTCAACACTTTGCTGTTGAAGCAGAATAATCTAAGCGATATCAATAGCATTGTTTCATTGGCCCAGCTAACAGAATTGGATTTATCCTATAATCCGGTGGGAAATCCCAATATCTCAACATTCCAAAATCTGAAACATCTTACCATATTGAATTTGCGGGCAACAGGCATTTCCAAACTGGCCTTTGGCATGTTTTCCAAATTGGAAAATCTCGATGTACTCGATTTGGCCTATAACAATTTGACGGAATTAAATCTGGACATGTTTGTGCCGGCCAATACCAATGTGCGTACATTCTATGTGGATGCCAATAATTTAACTGAAATCAAGGGCAAATATAGTTTTGCCAAGGCCTTCCCTTCGCTTGTGGAATTGGGCATCTCACGCAATCGCTTCAACTGTTCCTATCTGCATTGGCTGCTGATAAAACCCCAATTGGGTGATTTTACCAAACTCCATATCGAACACGATGATAATCCGCAGGAACAAACCCATATCAGAGATGTTACCTGCCTCTCGAATAAGGATGAGGAATTGCACAAAGCGGAACATGAATTGGCCGATTCGAAACATTTTCAAACGGTTATGAAACAATCTCTGGACACCATGAGTGAACATGCCAAACAAATGCAAACTTATCTTCTCGTCCTGTCGTTGATATTATCCTGTTTGGTGGTATTGGTGGCTACGGTTTGTATATTTGGTGGCATTCATTATTGGCGTGTCCAACGGGCGAAATTTTTTCAACGACGTGGTGGTGTGATTGTTTTTAATTCCAATGCCACAGTTAATACACATGTGGAACAATAGTCGCCGGTCAAGGATATTACGTCTTCATAACACACACACACAGACACCCACTCACTCACTGGATAATAATCGTAATAATTTATATATAATTTAATGAATAATTGCCGCATATCACTAATTGGATTAACCGAGGATTGGCCTATAATTAATTTTGACTGCAGAAGAAAAACAAAATGGTAAATGCGTATTTGATGTCATTCTTATGGATTATTGCGTATATGTATATGTGTGTGTTTGTGCAAAGTGATAATTAAATAATCATATCGAAGATTAACATATGAATAAATAGTGAGTGCGGGCGTAGGCATTTTAATTTTTCAAGATTTTTTTAAACAAATTAAATACTCGAAATATAATTTAAGGTTATTCAACCGAGAAATTAAAGAAACTGTTGAAGGTTCGTTTAAAAGTGGAACAATTATTTGTGAGATATATAAAAAAACATTTATCAGGGTGGAATATTTTTAAGCCTTTGACAAATTTCAAATATTGCTCACATTGGTTGAAAGCGGGTTTTTTCAAAACCATCTATAACGAAACTGGGCAGGCATCATTAAATGTGGACTATGGACGAAGTTCCCATGAAATCGGATATTTCAATGGCTTGATATTGGATAAACAGATTTTAGAAATGTGAAAACTTTTGGGTGAGAATAAATCGATTCTAAAATGTGTGACACTTTGAAGGCGAAGTAATTTAATTTCGTGATATTTGCACCCTCTTGCCCGATTAGAGGTCTACAGCACCTCTTCGTTACACTGAAATATTTTCGAATTTTTCTTATATTCAGTACATCCCACTTACAATTGATGCTTACAAAACGCCAAAAAAAAAAAAAAAAAAAAAAAGTAAGGAAAGTAGTAAAGTCGGACGGGGCCGACTATATGATATCCTTCACCACTATGGGTATATTAAACAGCATTATTAACATGAAATTGGATGAAATAAAATATGTGATATTTATCTAAATGTGAATTGGACTAGATCTATCCATAAACATGTCATTCGTTTGGGACAAAAGTATGAAAATCGACTTCAAACAAATATCCGTTTGGCTGTGTCTGTACTTCTGTATTATCTAAATTAAATCGGACGAAAAAATATATATCTAGATCTGAACCGATTTTCACGAAACTTGGCAAATATCCGTTTGGCTGTGTCTGTACTTCTGTATTATCTAAATTAAATCGGACGAAAAAATATATATCTAGATCTGAACCGATTTTCACGAAACTTGGCAGAAATCGCTCTGGGCTCAATTCAATACGTCATGCCAAATTTCGTGCAAATGGAAAGATATATAGGGACTTTGGTGCACCATTTACATGAAATCGGACGAAACTATATATGGGAGCTATATCTAAATCTGGACCGATTTTCACGAAACTTGGCAGACTTAATTCAGTACGCTGTGCCACATTTCATGCAAATCGAAAGATATAGAGAGACATTGGTGCCCCATTTACCTTACATCGAACGAAAATATACATGGAAGCTATATCTAAATCTGAACCGATTTTCTTGAAACTTGGCAGACATCATTCTAGGCTCAATTCCGTACGTTATGCCAAATTTCGTACAAATCGAAAGATATATAGGGACTTTGGTGCACCATTTACATGAAATCGGACGAAACTATATATGGGACCTATATCTAAATCTGGAACGATTTTCACGAAACTTGACAGACATCATTCTAGACTTAATTCATTACGCTGTGCCAAATTTCGCGCAAATCGAAATATATATAGGGACCGTTTACATTAAATCGGACGAAAATATATATGGGAGCTATATCTAAATCTGAACCGATTTTTCCCAATTTCAATAGGGTTCGTCCTTGGGCCAAATAAGTGACCTGTGCCAAATTTCATCCAATTGGGATCATAAATGCGACCTGTACTTTGTTTATAATTTAACATGGATAGTCGGGCGGACGGACATGCATAAATTGACTCAGAAAGTGATTCTATACATATTCTCAAAAGGAACCATTTGTATATCTCGTTTCCTTTTGCCTGTTACAAACATATGCACAAAGACATAATACCCTGTACCACAGTGTGGTGAAGGGTATAAATATGGACACTTTGTGGGGGGAATAAATCGATTCTAAAATGTGTGACACTTTGAAGGCGAAGTAATTGAATTTCGTGATATTTGCACCCTCTTGCCCGATTAGAGGTCTACAGCACCTCTTCGTTACACTGACATATTTTCGAATTTTTCTTATATTCAGTACATCCCAATTACTTGTCCAGTTTCCCTTCACCATGGGTTGTGTTGTGATGTTCGACTTACAATTAATGCCTACAGAAAGTCTCAAAAAAAAAAAAAAAAAGTTTTTGCTCCACTTTTTTTTCAGATTATCACCGAAAATTTTAGGCATTGTCTTTGACCATAGCTGGTATCTCATGGAAAATTTCAAAGCGATCAACGTTATATCTCCGCCCTCAAATGTGGTAATGGGTTACAAAATAATATGTGAATAATATTTAAGTGTAACTTCCACATCCGAGTAGATACGATATAATATGAATATAATTTATATCAATTTAAAGGCCAACCACTCCTCTTGGATGTGCTATCAACTCCTGGGGTCTACATCCTCCAGGAGTAAATATATATGCAATAGAATACAAATTTTGTCATTTTACACAGAAAAATCAGGGTCCATTTCCCTGTATCGAGTTTACACATGTGTAGACTCAGCTAGTCGAGATATGACGATATGTATACTTAAAAATGGTATACTAGGACCAATTTTTCGCTACGTTACAAACTCTTGGGGCTGCACAAAGCTATAATACACGGACAACATAGTTGTGTAAGGTATAATTACACTGTGCGACAAATTTCAATTTTTTTGATAATTCCAAATTCCAACTGATTATGAAAGAGGGGCTAAAAGGCGTTTTGAAAGTTTATGTCAGGAGGTAACCTAAATAGGGGGAACATCCCCCTTTTCAAGAATTTTGATAATTTTAGAATTATGATTTCTTGAAATCTTAGAATTTTGGGTATAGAGTGTCTTGGGCAATATTACTGTTGAAATATCGAGAAATATTTTGGTACACAACTTTAACCCTCAACCGACACTGTGTGTGTTATAATCGTTTGGGGGAGGTACCAAAAGTAGTCGATCGGTATTCCCAATCTTCGCAGGCGAGACTGATGGTATTTAAAAGTACAAGTTTAATTTTTGATCCTATAAATTGTTGGCTCAAAGGGCAAACCAAATTTAAATTAGTGAAAATGGCTTCGGTCTTTATTATTTGTAAAAATTATTATGATGTGCAATTTTTTGGAGGAAAATTGGGGATGAAAGATCTAAGAGCTGCAGCTATTATTCTTCCTATGGAAGGCCTGGAGACATTCTTCTTCCTATTGGAGAGCTGCATGCAATTTTCATCCTATATTAATTTTGGAGGTATCTTTAATCCTCTAGCAGAGCTAAAAGTCATCTTCTTCCTAGAGGAGAACTGTAAGTACTCTTCTTCCTGTGAAAGAGCTGCAGGTATTATTCTTCCTGTGGAAGCGCTGGAGGTATTCTTCTTCCTATGGAAGAACTGCAGGTATTCTTCTTCATTTGAAAGAGCTGAAAATATTCTGCTTCATGTAATTTTGCATGTAATTTTCTTCCTATGGAAAAGCCGGAAAGCTCATATAGGAGAACTGGAGGTCTTCTTTTTCCTAAAGGAGAACTGTAGGTATTCTCCTTTCTCTGGAAGAGGTCCAGGAATTATTCTTCCTATGGTATTTTTCTTCCTTTGAAAGAGCTGCAGATATTGTGTTTCCTTTGAAATAGCTGGAGGTATTCTTCCTCCTATAGCAGATATTTATATGAGGTATTGACCCTGGAGGTATTATTCCTCCTATAGCATATATTTATATGAGTTATTGACCCTGGTGTTATTATAGGAATATCCTGTTCAATGATTCCGCCCCATTATTAACCTCAGATCCTATTAGGTATATAGGATCTCGGGTAAATAATGGAATGATATTATATCCAAGAGGAGTGGATGACCTTTAAATTGATTAATTATATTTTCATATGTATTCGGATGTGGGAGTTATACTCAAATATTTACAGGTGCTTACGTATTCATATATTATTTAGTAACCCATTGCCACACTAGAAGGCGGAAATATAGCGCTGATCGCTTTGAAATTTATTTATGAGGTTCCAGTTATTTTCGGTGATGATCTGATGCCAATTTTAGGATGAAGTTTTTGTGTTTTTTTCGAATCGATTATAAACGGAACATCACAACATAACCCATAATCTGGATTGTAATGAATTTTAGTAATATTCGGAAAATAGGTCAGTGTAAGAAAAATGTGCTGCAGACCTCTAATCGGGCAAGAGGGTGCAACTACCGCGAAATATTCCCTAGGCTCGGAATAAACATACGCAGTATGTTAGAGTTCCGTCTTAGTTGTGTAGGGTATCGTATGGACGGTCCCGTCCGACTATACAGCTCCGCTCATTGGTTTAAAAAAAAGTTTTTGAAAAACGGCACATGTATATTCCCTATTTTTATAATATCCTGCCATTGTTCCATGTAACATTGTTGCATACATGTAACGCCATTTGGCCAAGTGTTAACACAATTTGTACGACACACAAATCTATTTGTAAATACTAAATCTAGCAGCGATCAAATAACCATTCAAAAAACAATAAATCAATGTACATTTTTGTGGCAGTATACATGTGCTTAGAGAACATTGCCTTCGCCCCCACCTAGGCCATGAGTACGTGGGCTACATTTGAAATTTTTGGGCGATTTTGCAAAGCCTTCTTAGCAAATAAAAAAAAACTTTAAACGAAAAAAATGCAAAGGCAATTTCGTTCATACTTCAAACAACCAACCAAACAACCAGTCAGACTGTTTGTCTGTCCTTCCGCCCACCTTTTGTCTACGACGACTGCTACAATTTTGGTAGCAGAATTTTGCAAATGTAGATTCGTTTGTTTTTGCCAAAAACATTTTTTTTTTGTTTTGTCTACAACTACTTGGCAGTAGATTAACGTAGCATTTCCAAGCCAAAGCCATTTAGGCAGCTGAATGGTTTCGTACAAAAATATAGGGTTTATAGAACATTTACTGTTCGCCCAAGAGTGAGGGGATTGGAGGTTGTGCTTAGCCAACAATGTGTGTTGGGATCTACATAAAATAATAATAAATCGAAAACTGAAATTTGAATTTTTTGGCGGACATCTTCAATAAAATGAATGAATACGTATGGCAGTAGCCAGTATTCTATATGCAATTGTGATTTCGAAGACATTACTATATAAACCTGAGCTACGGCGATTATTGAGTATAGTTAAACAAAAGTTGACTTGATCTAAACATCCAAAACAAAGAAACCAAATCAAAATGTTCAAATTGGTAAATTGATTTTTTTAATTAGAAATTAACCACAACCTCAAATATCATTTGCAAAATATTAATCCTTATCTTATCCTTTTTTCTATTTACAGTCCGTTTTCATTGCTCTTTTCGCCTTGGTTTGCTCCGCCTATGCCAAACCCGCTGTGGTAGCTGCTGCTGTGCCCACCGGTGTTGTAACTGCCACCAGCTCCCAATACATTGCCCGCAACTATAATGGTATTGCTGCTGCTCCCGTCGTAGCTGCTGCTTACACCGCCCCCGTTGCTGCTGCCTATACCGCTCCTGTTGCCGCTGCCTACACCGCTCCTGTAGCTGCTGCCTACACCGCTCCCATTGCCGCTGCCTACACCACTCCCTATGCCGCCGCTTACACCACTCCCTATGCCGCTGCCTACACAGCTGGTTATGCTCCCGCTTACACTGCTGCCTACACCACAGTATTCTAAATGGATTTTTTTAATTGATTTTTTTTTGGCTGGACCCAAATTGAAACGGACATTATGTGATTAACTAAATAACTATCCTGTTCTTATGGCTTTTTACTTAGTGATAAAAAGTTATTTTGTTAAAATCTGGCAATTTGAAATATTGGATTTTTTGTTATAATGAAAATTGCTTTATTTTACATAAATTTAAGAATTGATTTCTTTCAAATCTACAACAAATAAAAAAATGTATAAACATAAAACAAAAAATATTAGAAAAAAATGTAAACGATTATTTTTTTGCTGATGCGAACTGAAAGAGGCTTACATGGCAGATCTGATCTATAACTAGAAGACAAATAAGAACATAACGAGGGTTACTAGGGATATATAGTCAGGGATGGTCCGTATGACAAATTTTTAGGTTTTCGACTGTCAAAAAGGTGTAAACGTCGAAAACGTCATATACCTGTATGAAATGTAAAAAATGTAGTAAACGTCATTTATTTCAATATTATTACCATATACAGTTATTTTCAAGAATATATATTATTTTTACATATATCTGACTATTCCTTACTAAAAGTGATACAAATTTCTAAACTTTTTTGAGTAGAAATTTTTTTGAAATTTTATATGGATTTGAGTAAAGCATACGTAATTATCAAATTGATTAATAGAAATAGCTATTTTGTCAAAAACCTAATGGTTTTGGGTAGGTTTCCGACGTTTCTGACGTATGTATTATACGTCGGAAATGTATGTCATTTACGTCACTATTTCTGACAGACCATCTCTGAATATAGTTAAGTACGGTTATAACCAACCACAAAATTCCTGGCAAATAAGTTGATTATATCCAGTGTTTAGCATAATTTTGACCATTTTGTGGGGGAGGTACTAGAAAGAGTTGACCGATATTCATCATTTTTGAACTTAAACTAAGTTTGGAAGACATATTCAGATGGGCAAAGTTTGGAAGAAATCTATTATTCCCTTCAAGAGTTATCGTGCGCACCAGCCAGCCAGACAGACAGACGGACAGCGGACGGACGGACATGCGTAAATCGACTCCAAACTTTCTGAAACGGATTTGGTCCAAAGAAACATGGGGTCTAAAAGCAATATTTCGATGAGGCACATTTACACCGTATCATTAGGCAGGAAATCTCCATACCAAGAATTATCAATATTTGGCCGTGTTTCGGGGTAGCCTCCAGGGAGCGGTCGGGGACGTTTTTTAACAGAATTGATTGTAATATCACATTGCGCGTTTTTGGAGGCAGACTTAAAGTACTGACATATTTTCGGTATTTTGAGGGGTTTAGCCGTATTCTCTGAGCTCTGTTGTGGTAGAAAATATTTATGCGGAAAATTTTCGTCCTCATGATTGTTTTTTTTTTCATTTTCCCGAATAAACAACCTATTTCCAGACAATGTTTGTTTTAAGAAAATTTTAATAAACACCTCTTGGTGCAGAGTGGTGTTTAACATGGTGTTTATAAGAAGTTCGGCCGGGTCGGGTTTTTTACTTGTTAACAGATAAAGCTCATAGCGTGAAACATAAAAAAAAACTCATAAGGTCTATGTTGAATCGAAAAACGGCACATTTTTTTGTATAAAACCAAATAGACGGACAATTTTAAAAATATCCAGAAAAAATAAAAAATTCTAAAGAAAATGCTAGGTGCTAGATCAAATTTTTTTGGTGCTAAACGAGTTTAAAAAGTGCTAGATCTACCACTAAAAGTGCTAAATTGGCAACACTGATTATATCAAAGTAAGCTTAGCAGAAAAAATATTTTCAGTTAGAAACTTGAAAATGTTGTGTCCTTTTTGACAATACTTAAATAGACTCCGGCCATTCTCGATTTTAAATTTCGACAAGACTTGTAACTTTGTATACATATATATATAAAGTAGAAGAGGCTAAATTGACAAAATGTTGTATTTTTATACCCTTTATTTGTTACTGATTTTCTGGTCGCTCCAGAGACCGCAATAGTGGGCCAAACATATCGAATTTAATAGAGAAGGGAATCCGGGCAAAGAATAACCATGACTGTTTTGATAAAGATTGCTCAATATTGGTCAAAATTGACCCTGACTTTTGTGTGAAAAATTACAACGTTTGTATTCTATGGCGAACATATTTACTCCTGAAGGACATAGACCCGAGAAATTGACAGTATATCCAAAAGGAGTGGTTGACCTTTAAGTTAATACCAATTATATTGTCGTATGTACTCGGATGTGGGAGTTAAACTTAAATATTTATAGGGCGGAAATATAGCGCTGATCGCTTTGAATTTTTCCATGGGTTTCCAAGGGGTTATGGTCAAGAACAACGCCTATAATTGTCGGTGATGATCACAAAACAAATTTGGGGAGAAGTGGACCGAAAACCTAACCTAATTGAATATTGGAAATAATCGGAAAATAACTAAGTGTAAGGAATATGTGCTGTTGACCTCTAATCGGTCTAGAAATATTGCCCAGGCTCGAAATAAACATCCGCAGATCGAGTTCCTTGGTTGTTGTGTAGGGTATCGGACTATTCTCCTCCGCTAACTGTTTTTTTCTTTGGGTTCCTTGAAGCAGTATGCATTTATTTTTCATAGTCCATTTTCATGGACATTTTTGTAAAAGTATCACGCGTTTGCGTAAAAATTAACTTTTGTTAGGAATGTAAACGTTAAGTATTAACAGCATGTTTCTGTAAAATTCGAAACGAACCACATCGAACGAATTACTACCAAATCATGACCATGCCATGCTACCAAACATTTATTTGTGTAAAAAATATTGTGTGATTCAAAAGAAAAATAAATGACATTTTAGATTGAGGATTTGTTTCACAAAAATATTTCTCATTCGATTTGACTGAATAGATATTTAAAATATATAATTTAAATAATATATATATATATATACAGTGAGTGTAATAAGTATTTTGCCTCAATAAAAATTTGAAAAAAAATTCCAATATATACGCCTAAAGCCAGCAAACTAAAGATGTAAAATGAATTATGTATGATGGAGTACGTTTGTGGACATATTTAGCTCGCATTTCTGCAAGAATCACGGCGTAAGACCTATTGGTCTCGAAGATATCGGCTAAAATATATAACAATCCAAAAATGTTTATCACAAAAAAGTATTTTGCTTTTTATTATTATTTTAGAAAAAATTGTTACATAGAACACGTTTGGTCTTTTTATAGTTACCATTGCGGGTAACGACATATTATAAGTGATTTGGCAACGATTCCAATAAACCACGGCATTTTTTCGCGGGTATTTTCTCACATTTACATTCAATACATTCTCCAGCAATATTTTATTTAATATTTGGTAATTTCTCGTCCTAATCTCAAAATCAGAGTATTAAATATGTCGTCGCGGCTTCAAAACATCCCAAATATGTTAAGAATAATAAAAAGGAGGTTTTAAAAAATATATCGCGAGGACAGGACCTAAAAAACTATTAAAACCAAAATCCGACAAACATATCATTTAAAAAAATATCGCGAAACCCCATTTTTCTAACTTTGAAAACTTTATGGTTCATTATTACTGATCTAGGAACCAAAATATACTATGAAAATAGCAATAAGGAGGCCAGATTCAAAGATTTGGACGGTTTTCTGACAATAGAAATAAATCTTATTTCGAAAATAAATAGATCGACCCGTTTATTCCCTACTGTATTTTATTCGCAACTGATGGTGTTAATCGGAGATAAAATATCGAATGCGTATTCGACATCAGCAACCACAGTTTTTCAAAAGACAATAGGATTTGGCGAATAATGATGTTTTCTCCCAACTTCATGTATTGTTTTTTATTACTATTGCTTTAGAACTGTTCATATCTTTGACTCTGACCACCTTATTGGTATTTCCATTGAATATATTGGTTCCTAGATCAATATTATTGGACCATACAAATTTCGAAGTCAGAAAAAATGAGTTTCGCGAATTTTTTTAAATAATTTGTTTGTCGGATTTTGGTTTTGATAGTTTTTAAGGTTCTGTCCTCGCGTTATATTTTGCAAACCCTCTTCTTTTATTATTCTAAACATATTTGGAATGTTTTGAAGCCGCAATGACTATGTTAAATACTCTCATCTTAAGATTAGGACGAGAAAATACCAAATATTAAAAGAAATACTGATGGAGAATGTATTGAATGTAAATGTGAGAAAATACCCACGAAAAAAATGCCGTGATGTATTGGAATCGTCGACAAATCGCTTATAGTATGTGATTAACCGCAATTGTAACTATAACAAGACCAAACGTGTTTTATGTAATATTTTTTTCTAATATAATACTAAAAAGCAAAATACTTTTTTGTGATAAACATTTTTGGGGTGTTATAGATTTCGGCCGATATCTTCGAGACTAATAGGTCTATCGCAATGATTCTTGCAAAAATACGATCTAAGTATGTCCACAAACATATTCCATCACACATAATTCATTTTACGTGTTTAGTGTGCTGGCTTTAGACGTATATATTGGAATTTTGTCAAATTTGTATTGAGGCAAAATACTTATTACACTCACTGTATATATTAAAATTCAAAACCCGTTTACCGAACAACTTATCAATTACATGGAATCTTTAACAAAGTAGAGCAAACAAATTAGACGTGAATCGATTAGTAATTCATTTAAAACGAAAAAAATTGTGGAATCAATAGATGTAATTTTTATTGCAATTTATTTGGAATTCCATACACGAACTTATCTCTGGTGCTGTGGGTGAAATGTAAATTGTAATGTTAGTTGAAGAAAAAGTCTTCCTTATGTAAGTTAATTGTTTTTCTATTTCATAATATTATAATATATTGTGGGATTAATGTATGATTTTTAAATTAATATACAGTCATGATGCAGCAGTAAATGATTAAGAGAATGGCACGAGCTACATATATATATATATATAATAGTTAACCGGCCTGTCGTCATTCAGAAATTCTTCAAATAAAAATAGATATTTTTATTTTTTAATGAT